TATGTATCTCCAAAGTAACTGTTTAAAAAAAGTTTCTATTGTGAAACTTTTGGTAATGATTTTATTGTCAGCTTTTAATTTATTTTTGCAGTAAAAACAGTAAACATCTGTTTTTCTCAAACTCTCAGTATTTATTCTCTGCGTTCTGAGTGATCTTTTAGAGAATTTTCAAGAAATCTCTTGATAAGGTGTTACAATATATATTTTAAAATAATTAATTTAAATTAAATATTTATTGTCTGACCTTTAAATATTTGCCTTTCCAATGACACTTGAGAAAAACATTTCAGCTATTCTTGAATACAGTAATTTGAATTCAATTGTAATTGAAATTTTACTGTTTCACTGCAGGGCATGGTTAAGGTCATTAGGATACCTGAACTGGGTATACCCTGGTTAAGGTAAATGCCTGTTAGTTTAGGCACTCTAATGATCATAACCATGTGCTTATAAGTCATTACATTTGCATTATTTTAACTTTAATTTCTACACCTGTCTTGTCTGGTTTTTCTTACTTGTTTGTTTGTGATTCAGATAGTCAGCTTTCACTTTTCAAAAAAACATGGTGATACTGCAAATGCAACATCCTTCCCCCCCCGCCCCTTGTCATTGTCTTCTTTCCCTTTCCCTATCTTTTCTCTCCATGATTAGGGAAGTTGATGTATTTTGAATTTTTACACAACATGGAGGAAAAAGAGCTGTGGTTTTATATAATTTACTCCTTTTCAACATCAAAAAGTGTATACATTTTTTCGGATAAACCAAGGCTCCCGTATTCCTTGAGGATGTAGTCGTATAGTGGGAGCACTGACAAAGTGCCCCATCTCACTAGGATGTGTCTGCAGCAGAGTGTGTTCTGGAGGCAGGGAGAGGCTCATGCTGATCTACATTAGGCAAAGACAGTGCTGGTAAAAGCTTCTTCCTTCGACTTTTGTTTCCTTGTAATAAAAAAAATGACACAGTGCACATCTCTGCACAAGATGGAAGGGAACTAGGACCTCCATACTTATATGTTAATGTTGTAGTTTTTCAGCGCCTTAAAAACTTAAGCATATTCATTCTTTCAGCTCCCTTCTGAGGGCAGCCACTGCTGTCTCTTTTAGCAGCTGGGGCTTCGTGGCCCAAGGCTTACAGCGCTATTTCTGCGTTCTCCAGAGGGCTATGGGGTAGGAGTGAGTTAACTATGGATTCCTCGTTCTTCCTTCTTCCCTCATAACCTCTTCTGCACACATCTGTTATCAGGACACAGCATTGCTCTCAGGTGTTCGTGCCCTCTTAAAATCTTATTCTCAAAGGTATTGGTTACCTTCAACTCTCATTACCTGCTGTTGCTACTTCTAACATGAATTCCTTTTGCCTTATAATCCATTATGCTACTTGATTAAACTATACACGTAAAGCTGTGATTTAGAATGAATCTGCTCAGAAGTAGAAAGCAGGACTGAAATAAATATGTATGATCTTCTAAATCAGTGGTTCTCAACCTTTTTGAAGTTGAGTGGCACTTGAGAAAATTGGCTGTGCTCTGTACCTTGCTGAGGTCAGCTCTGAACACACAAGGAGCTGTCACCTTGCTCTTTTGTTAAGTACTTGTGTACTTGCTGGCTTTATGGAAATTACAGTAAATCTGCTTATAATGTGATTGGCTACGTCACTCAGTTCCATGTATCATCCTGGAATCAGTCTGTTCAGGACTATATGTTTATTAGGATTTCCTACAGGAGAATACATGCGTAATTGGGTGTTGTATAGGAACAGTAAGTCCTATACTTACTGCAGAAGTATTGGATATACTATACTTGTGAGATGCAGTGATGGATTTCATGAGCAGTGGATCTGTCCCATAAATCCTGGAATTTCTGTGTATCCATTGTACAGGAAAAACTTTGATTTTGTTGGGTTTTTTTCTTCCTGGATAAGGTATGTGTGTATATACTGTGTAAGGCTGTAAATCCAATAGCTTATGGACATGCCTTACTGGGCATGGCTGTGTGCATGTATGGTGAGTCTCTCCCATGCTTTGCCAGCAGGTACGTCATGTCATTGTTACACGTACTATGAATGTGATGTTTTCTGGAAAACTTGTGGTACATGTGGTGTATAGCTGATCCTTACATGTGCAATCAACATGTCCAGGATTTCTTCATGTACTGCAGCCTAGATAGAGCCACAGCACTCCTGAAGCTGGAAATCTGGATACAATTTTCACGGGGAAGAAAAGACAATATTAACCAGAGAACCTAGAAATACAGTGGCCTTGCCTAACTAAAAAAAAAAAAAAAAAACAAACAACCCAAACAACCCCCAGTTCCCCCCCTCAAAAAAAACCCAAACCCCAACAATAACCAACCAAACATTTTCAGGTCAAGGAGGGAAGAGGAGGGAGGATACCCAGATAAGGGGAAATCAGCTAATTGAAGACACTCTGAGGAGTGCAGTGCAAGACATCTGGAAACGTGGGATTGCCTTCTGAGGCTGAAGTGCTTACATTAAATTTACTGGCACTCCGGGAGGATTAATTAGCCAACACCAAACTGGCCCTATACCTTTATGCTGCACCCAGGCTAATAACCCTACTCACCTTCAGTCCCTGGATTGCTGCCTTCTCCCTGTTTTTTCAAACTGGGGGTTGCTGCCAGCCTGCCAGCCTTCCTTACACCCATGTTCCAGCACTACCTGTGAGTCACCATCATCTTACAGCTGAGGCAGGGATCAGACCAACAAGTCCTGTTGGCCTCTGCTGATTCATTCCAGGTATGCTCAGGAGTATCTGCATCCCCCTCTCTGCAGATGTGGTTCAGAGATACTTGCACTAAGCTCACAGTAAGATCTACATCAGGTTGCCTATGTAATGGGATTATATAGCACAGGCTGGCATGTATTCTGCTTTCTGTGCTGTCAGCATAAGAGCATGACCATCAGCATTCCTGAGGGTTTTTGTTTTTATCAGTGCCTTGACAGGCTTTGATAGTTTCTTGTATATGTAATACTTCTAAGCTTGTGTTTATTTTGTAACTGAAAGTTACCAAAAGGTTAGTTAGATTTTTAGTAAGACTCCGTTAAGGTAAAAGTAAGATTTTCACATACAGATTTCTTTTATTAATATGTTGACAGAAATATAGCAAAACTTACAAAAAAATGTACAGTCTTCTGTTGTTGAAGTGCTTAGATATGCTTGTATAGAGGTGGGAGAGTTTGTTATGTTTTTGATATAGATAAAATGTACTAAAAGGGGGTATAAAAAGCAGTTGCAATGGAAATTCAAATTGCCATCTGCGCATTTCCATTGCTAACAATATTGCCAAGTTTTGTTTAACAAACAGATGAGCCCAATGTAAAATTACTGAGAGCCGATAGTAAATTGGACATATGCCTCAAATCATTTGATCAAATTTTATATACAAACTCAGAAGGAAGAAAATTCAATTTTTATAGTGTGCTCATTTATAATGACATTGGAAAAAATACTACTGAAACAAACATAAGATGATACAGACAAAGAAATAAGTGCCTGTTTAGTAGAAAGCAAAGTTTTGGCAAGAAAGTCAACAAAAATCTTAAGTTATAGAATATCTTATGGCATTTGAAGGATGTAAACTGTATTTGTATCAGTACTCTCTTTTGCCTATGTCAAAGAAACCATGGAATATATAATGAGGTGGTAACCCAGAAATGTATGCCTTTTCAGATTTGTTAGAGCATGGTAGTTTCCCCTCAGCCAGGCCAGGTTCTTTCTTCAGGGTCTGCATCAATTGTAGTCAAGAGTTTACTATCATTATAAGCCGTGTCACCAGCTGCTTTAAAACATATTCTTCATCCCAGATATTAAATATGAAGTTGACTTTTTTCTTTCTTTTAAAAGGCACTGTCCCAGTGAGTGCCAGAAGCAGAATAGCAGTGTTAAGACAAAGCGCTCGTAGGCCAGTTCCTTCTGCTGTGACTGAGATGCAGGCCCACATGACTATTAGTTTTGCAGCACATCAGGTTTAAGTCATTTGCAAATGACTCTAATACTCTAATAGTGTAGCTGCCTGCACCTTCTGCTGTCTCCCGCCTGAAGTTACTATTTCCTTAGTAGTGTTTCTTCAACATTTTTTTTCTTGGCTGTTCTCTAACCTAAATCTATTAAATGGTCCTTAAAAAAATCCCAACAATCGTCCCCAGTTTTATTTGCAAGCGGATTGTTTTGCAGGTCTAGCTCAGAACTTGGCCACCTCAGCACTTGTCTCAGCACTGCTGAGGGGCAGCAGCCTTCAGCCATGGCTGCAATGATCAACTGGGAGTAGAGGGCATATTTAAACTGGATCTGCTGCTGATGGACTAGTTGATGTGGAAGCACGGTCATAGCCCGCCCTGAGCTTTATGCTGATGTGTCTGTTGTACTCCTGCTGTCTAATTCAGCTTGTATAAAGCCAGCACAATAATTTCTACGTTGCACTGAATTGGCAGAAGCTTGCTGTACTATGTTTATGCCACCTAAGTATCTGATCACAGAAATTTAGAGACAGCACAAAGAACAACAATGTGATATTCCATGCACTATAACCCTCATTAGAAATAGTGCTAGAATGATTATGGGTAGGGGTGATAAAACTGCAGAGGCACTTGCCTGGAACTGAAGATGCAGAAATTCTGCATCTTTGAAAAGATGCAAGATTTCATTCACTTGTTCAAAACCTCAGGAAGAATCTATGTCCTAATAAGTTAAAGAGTCCATAAGTTTGTGACTTGGTTTGTCTGCTTAGGTTGTGCCTCTTGAGCTTCACACTGAGTCAAATATAGTTAAGGCATTGGAAAGAGGGGTGTCACAGTTCAATTTTTAATTTCAATTTCATACTATAATTTATCATATAAACATCAGTCTTGCAATTTATTGCAAGGTAATTTTTTTTTGATTTATTGAAAGGTAATACTAATTTAGTTGGTAAATATAGCACACTAAGAAGAAAAAATGGTTCTAAAATAACAACGTTTTCTTTTTTTCTCCTTCATTTTGCTAGCGCTGTTGCTGAGGCTGAAGGAATTGAGCCATTAGTAAATACCTTGAACGCTCAGAGAGATGGAGCCATTGCTAATGCTGCCACAGTGCTAACAAATCTGGCCATGCAAGAGCCATTCCGTGTAAAAATCCAGAACTGTGGTATTATGAGTGCGCTTGCAGAACCGTTGCGCTCGACCGACAGCCAAGTGCAAAGCAAAGCAGCATTGGCTGTGGCTGCATTTGGTTGTGATGCAGATGCAAGAACTGAGGTAAAACTCTTCTTTGAGGTTGTGGTTATTTGTAACATTTCTAGATCCTGAGGTTGGTGTTACACTTACTAGGATCTTTGTATTTTGTATGTCTGTCCTAAAAGTCCCGGGATTTCTAGATAGTAAATAACTAATTTTTCACTTTCATCATAGGCTTGTTCTGCTGAATTTAGCTCCATTTGTCATGAGAACTTGGAAAGGGTTTTCTTTAATTTGTATTTTTACTGTTGTATTTGCTTGTACCAAATTAATGTTCTACAGCTTTCCAGTGGCTTCAATGAGCTTTAACCAGGGCTATATCTTAATCCTCATGTTTATAAGCATTAAACATTAAGGTTCTCTCAGCTGCAACTGTTGGATGAATTTTGAAGATGAGAAGTTCTGTCCTCTTTATTCTCCCTTAGTGTTGTGCTATTGCCCACTTTCAAGGCCTGAACAGCAATGGCTGATCTTGATTTATAAGATGCTGGATGTGCATGGAGTAAATGTAATTCCAATAAAACTCAAAATATAATTAATCCCTTGATCAGTGACATCCAGCAAGTTGAACTTTTTGCTGTTTATCAATGGCCCTATTATTTTCATAAATAAGGATGATGCTATGTGCATTCATAGATCATAAGCTGGGGATTTCTCATGGGTCAATGCTATTAATTAGGACATGAATAAGGGGCATAGATAATTAATCTACCTCTTTCAGTGTCCTTAAAATGTCTTTCTCTTCAAAAATCCAAATGAGCAGTATTTCCTCCAGCATGTATAGGAAAGGTACTGTAGCACACAAGAGAATAGGATGTTAATAAGATTGTCATACATACAATACAATACAGATTCAAATATATTGTGATGTAAATTAGTTGCTAGGAGGCAGCAGAACATGGAAAAAGCTGTGTAACTCTCTGTGGCAGTGTTGGGTTGGATAGTCTCTTCAGTTTCCACAATCTAACAACTGAAAAGCAAGCCAGAACCAGAAGGGATGTGTGCCTTGAACCACTCTGAAGCTGACTTCAGCTCCAGCCTATGCAGGGTTCACAAAAGCAGAGGATCCCCATAAATGGCCTTTCTACCAGCCCAGCATAGCTTGCCTACAAGGCTTGAATGTTTTGGAAGGTGTTTCACAGGCTGTTCTTGCTGGGACAGGTGAAGTATGTAAGTGGCAATGTCTTCTTTTTTTTTTTAAAGTTAAGAAATGCAGGTGGACTGGGACCACTCATTGAATTGCTGCATACTAAGAATAAAGAAGTCAGAAGAAATGCCTGTTGGGCTGTTATGGTCTGCGCAAGTGATGAACTAACCGCCATTGAACTATGCAGGCTAGGGTGAGTAAAAATAGTGTCAAGGGGCAGAGGGAAGATTTTGATGAGAGAACCCTATTAAGTTGATCTTTCTATATTTACAGCAGAGTAACAAAGTTATACTTGCTGGTAAGCAGAAACTAACTACTCTTGCACTACAGATGTTACAGATTAAATGGTATTGATTTTAAGTAACAGAAGTCTTAAGAAAAACTGCAAGAGAGAACTGTCTGGAATTATAAAAACATTTATTGTTTCTGTGACTGAATTAGGGTTTATATTGAATATGTGCTTATATCAGTCAAAATTAGGGACTACAGTGCCCCATACATAGGAAACTGAAATTAAGGTTTCAGGCTAAGTTCAGTATGCAGTAAATTGTACCTATTACACACAGGCTAAATTTGTTTTACAAACTGTGGTTAACTACAAGTGTGCTGAAGTGTCATGTAAAAGAGACTCTATTCCTTCTTAGAAACTCCCAAGTTCCATGTATTAATATCTGAATTACAAAAGCTGGTTTGGGTTATAAGAATTATGGCACAGGGCTCCTTATACAGGGTGACTCTTTCAGTTAGTGTTAAATTAAAATATATGTAATTGCCCTGCTCCCTCTGCTGGACACTTTTCTGATTACTGCACAGATACTTAAAATGCATCTATGAGGGGATGCTTCAGAGTTAGAATCTCAGAAATTTAGGTCCGGAGGGGACCTCGAAGTTGATACTATCCGTCTGCCCACTGTAAGACTGAATCAGGTACACTGACATATTTTTGCTTGTTAAGTGTAAATACCAATTCTGAGGGGATTTCACAACTTTCCGAGGTAACCTGTTCCAGTGCTGAAGTACCCTTACAGTTAGAAAAGGTTTTTTGATTTCTAAATATCCCTTACAGCAAATCAGTTCAACTACGTCGTCCTACTTCCAGTGAGATTGAATAACCACCTTTTTATAGCAATTTGAGTTTAATTTATTGAATTTTCTCATGTTCTATGTCTCTCTCTCAGTTTCCTTTTCATGGCAAAGTAGAAATGTTAAACTTCTTTTTGTTTTGAAATTTTGTATCATTTTGTCACACATCTCTGAATTTCTCTCATTTATTTATGCCATTTTGAAGTGTCATCTCCCAGCCTGGACAAGGTACTTCAGCTGGGGTCATACCACCATCAAATAAAGCTCAGTAATTATTTTCTATATCTTGCATATAGTACTGCTCTTATTTAATCCTTTCTTTGTGACACTATCGGAGTAGGACTCTAATTTATGTGTCCTTCCAGTTTGACAGCATATTATTGATAATAATACACTAAGCATAGTTTTTCAACCAGTCAGGCACTACTTCATGTTATTTTCATGTAGATCATATTTCCCTGACTTGCTCATGAGTATTCAAGTAGGAATATGTAAAAAGACTTATTAAAGTCAAAACATATCTCAAAGTCAACTCACCTCTCACATCTACTACTTCTACCTGTACATTAAGTCAGTTACCCTATCACAGAAAGGATTAGATTGGCTTTACACCATTTATTCTTGACAAATATATAATGGCTATTTCTTACCATCTTATCTCTTGTTACTTGCAAACTGATTGTTTAATAATTTGATATAGTGTCCTTTGGACACTGAAATTTGGCTGACTGATCTCTGTTATTTCCTTGTTCTTCCTTTTTCCAAATCTAGATACTATCTTTGCCTTTCTCCACTCTCCTGGCACCTAGCCTGTCCTCCCTGAATTTTCCAATATAATTATAAATGGTTCAGAGGTTGTTTTTGCCAATTCGTAGAATAGTATGAGGTAAGTCTCCTCAGGCACTGATAACTTTGTCTATTCAAACTTATTCTAGACATGTTACGCCTACTGTTTCCACCTCCTTGTTAATATTACTGCCAGGCATCTGCTTGCAACCTTTTTATGAAAACTTTAGCAAAAAAGGCATCAGACACTTCAGTCTTTTCTGTGCCATCTGTTATGAGTTTTCTTCCCACATTGAGTAATAGGCCTACATTTTCCTCTCTGACTTGCAGCATATGAAACATTTATTTTTGTTTCAGTCCCTGAGTAGTTGTATCTCACTTTGCCTGTGTGTCTTTTGGTTTTTTCCCCTACTTTTTCTTCCCTGTTGGAAGTGTCAGCGTTTCCATTTCTGTATGAGTCCTTTTTTGGCTTTTGGGTCTTCACAGAACTTTTGGTGCAGCCATATTTGTCCCTTTTTGCCTTGTCTTTCCTCCACATGAGGATAGTGTGCCATTGTGCCTGTAATGTCATCTGTCTTTGACACTGCTGTACTCATTAGGCTTTTCTTACTCATTTCCCCCTTTAAAATTCTTCCCTGCATTACTTGGTGGTTACCTGATTTTGTTGCAGTATGCTGTATGACAAATAGCCTGTACTGCTGTTCCACTATTTTCTCCCATTGCTCTCTTCTAAAAGAGAAGGTTGTCATTTGCCTTGCCTGAGAAACTTGTTCTCTGGAATCCATCTGATGTACCTTCAGAAGTCTACATTGTAAATGTCCACAGCTGAGGCTCCCTGTGTAGTTCACAGAGAGAAATGGGCAGTCTAAACGTGGAGTTCATTATATATGTAAAAAACTGATGGATGCAAAGAATGTCTGCATGTGTGTGTAGATGCACAGAGATATAAATTTGAATATACACATACACACACATATTAATATATCTACCTCTTTTTACCTGTTGTTTTCATTCCTCAACAGTTCCAAACCTGCACTATGTTATGTTCTCCTGCTTTAGCTTCTTTTTTCTTCTGTAGTGATGTTTTTCTATGTTTCTCAAGTCAGAAGTTATCAGTATGTGGGTTCAACACAAAATCAGCTTAAGGAATGAATTCCTGTCCTCCTGTGTCCCCACATAGTTATTTGTTTCTACCTCCATGCTGCAAAAATCCTGCACCTGGTGATGCTGACACAACTGCTTGTGTTTCCATGCTCATCTGTGTTTTGCAAATTTCTGCCAACCTCTGTCCTAAACCAGAAGGATTCACACATCACGTAATGGAATCTGCAAATTGCATTGCATTGCAAGTTGGGGGGAGATTCCCTGAACTGTATCACATGGTCAGCTCTGAACATTATTCCTTTTACTCTGCTTTGACAGAGTAAAAGGAATCTTTTTTTTCTCACTCTTCTTTTTCTCACATTCTCTGTGGTACCTAACATCCTTCTGATAAAAGATTGTGGCACCCTGTCAGCATTTCTTTAGGCATGTCTAACTGCCTAAAGGAATTACTTTTTGCTTTTAAGCACTGCAAGGCATTTTCCTCCCATAGAGAAAGAATTCTGTGCAGCACAATCAGCTCCTTGCTGGCCCAGGGAGCACCAGGCTAACACTTGGAAATGAATCTATCTTGGCTGTGGCAATGCTGAAAGCTAACTCTGAATTGTATAATAACAATTAATTGGTATTTAATGGTGAATTAGCCTTGTATTGTGTTTAACAGTGCTTTAGACATCCTAGAAGAAATTAATCTGTCACCAGGACGCAAAAATAACTTCAGTGAGGCTGCTCTGGAAAAGCTACTTGATAACAATCTTTCCCAAAAGTACAGCCAGATGGGATATTTATCATCAAGTAACATCATTACTGATGGATTCTATGATTGTGGTCAGGTAAGCTACTTTAAATAAATTTGTCTACTTAGAAAGAGTAAAATTTTCTTCCTGATTTAAAAAAATTAAGAGTACTATAACAAAAGCTAGAATCTGGCTATGTAAAATACTTTGTTTTCTTGTCCTGAAGTTTTCCCAGTTTCTATACTAATTTATTTTTATTATCTTTCTTCGTGGATGAAATCTCATCATCTTCATGCTATCCACCAGTTGCAATCTTCTTCCCAATCCTATGTAAGCTGTGCAGCTCCTAGTTCCTTTCCAGATACTTTCTCAGACCTTAGTTCTTCTGGTCTCT